TCTTTCCCCCTGTCCTCCTCTCCCTTTCCCCCTATCCTCCTCTCCCTTTCCCCCGATCCTCCTCTCCCTTTCCCCCTATCCTCCTCTCCCTTTCCCCCTATCCTCCTCTCCCTTTCCCCCAATCCTCCTCTTCCTTTCCCCCTCTCCTCCTCTCCCTTTCCCCCTATCCTCCTGTCCCTTTCCCCCTATCGGCCACTTCCTTTCCCCCCCTCCTCCCCTCTCTTTCCCCCTGTCCTCCTCTCCCTTTCCCCCTATCCTCCTCTCCCTTTCCCCCTATCCTCCTCTCCCTTTCCCCCTAGCCTCCTCTCCCTTTCCCCCCCTCCTCCCCTCTCCTTCCCCCTGTCCTCCTCTCCCTTTCCCCCTATCCTCCTCTCCCTTCCCCCCTATCCTCCTCTCCCTTTCCCCCTATCCTCCTCTCCCTTCCCCCCTATCCTCCTCTCCCTCTCCCCCTATCCTCCTCTCTCTTTCCCCCTGTCCTCCTCTCCCATCCGCGCTCCCCCCCCTCCCCCCCCCCACTTCCCTCTCATTCCTTTCCGCTGCTCCATTGTCTCCCCCTGTTTTCATTCCACCCCCTTGATCCGTTTCTCCCCCTGCTCCCCTGCTCCCTGTCACCCTGATTGACAAGGCGTGAATGAGGTTGTGATGGTGGGGCCTGACTCTTGCCTCTCAGCTCCCATTTTCTTGCCTATCAGCTCCCGCTCTCTTGCCTCTCAGCTCCCCCTCTCCTTGGCCTCAGCTCACCCACTCCTTGGGCTCAGCTCACCCACTCCTTGGCCTCAGCTCATCCTCCTGGTCCCCTCTGCTCACCCCTCATTCACTCATTACCCCCTTTCTTTGTCATCTGCCTCCCCCTCGCCTTGCTCTCCCGACAGTGGGTCATGACACGCGCAGGGCACTGCACGCATCAACTTGCACTCTGCCCACCTCTTCCACGCTCTCCCTCGCACCACCACACCCTTAAGGCTCGTGTTAATAAAAAAAAACTTTGTTATGACATACTCTGTTTGAAAAGAAACAGCCAAAATGCATGTATCCTATGTACTATATTTCTGTTGTTACGCATGGCCTTTGTGTGAGCTCATTGTTTGTTTTTTGCACACTTAGTTACACAATTACGGTACATAGGGTTTATGTTGTAGATTTGGCGTTGTAATATAGTTACCAGTGGGTTCTGTTGGGGCCAGGCCGGGCGTGTTTCCGCAATATTCTGCTTCGTGTTTCAGGTGACTCACGTGTGCTTCTGCCCGATCATCTTTGGCCCGACAGTCCTAGTTACATATTAAGGCCTGATTTTTCTCGATACTGTACGCGCCCCAGCTCTGGTTCTCCCCCTCCCTGTTTCCACTCGTCGCCAAAACGTCGCCCATCTCCCACAGGCGAGGTCCGTGACTTTCGCGCTTCCCCAATCCCATTTTTCGTTTCGCAATACCCGTGCGAATTTCGCATCTCTGACCAAGATTCAAAGGCTTCGAGTCTTGATCGTTCTTGGGTCACGCGCTTTAAGCTCACATGGTACAGTCACTCTGGTGGGTTGCGGTTAGACTGGTGCTGTACTGTGAGAACCTGTTGAAGTGCCAATAACTCTTCCACATGCATGGGCCTCTACGGTGCATATCATTGCTCTACATTTAAAGTGCGTATCATTGAGTCCAAATTTCAGCACAAAGTGTCAGAAACCCAGTCACTGGGTTAAAAGGGCTTGTTAAATAGCGGGTAAGTGCACCCATAGCCCCCCAGGCTTTGCACCTGTGGCCCTTCTCCGAGGATCTTTTCAAGGGTAACCCAGCGGGTCACTCGACACCCCCCCTCGCTGGGATAGGTGGAAGACACGAGCGCCTCTGCAGCGTTAGCACTAGGACTAGAACCCAGGACCTTTGGCTTTGATACCATGTCAGAAACCACTTACCATTGGGTTAAAAGGGCTTGTTAAATGGCGGGTAAGTGCGCCCATAGCCCCCCAGGCTCTGCACCTGTGGCCCTTCTCCGAGGATCTTTTCAAGGGTAATCCAGCGGGTCACTCGACACAAAGTATTGCTACCGTATTCCCCCGGATAAAACACCTGCCAGAATTGATCACTCATGGGTGGTTTGGGCGGACCTGGGTGCTTAATTAAACTGGATATTTATACCACCCTACTTTTCAACATGAATCCAATACACCACCCCCCTGATTCTTTGCCTTCATTTTCTACAGCTTGGGGCTATGAACAATACAGTTTTAACATTGCAGAGACTGTCCTACAGTCTAAAATATCAGGAGTTAGCACTAAACACCATGGTCTACTCCCTACCTCTACACTATGATCACTATTCGCATGGTGGTTGGGATCTTACAGGCCCCATGATATGGACGGCTGCTCCTACTCGTCTACATCATCTTCAGCTTCATCTTCGTTGTCACCTGCAACCCACATCTCCACGTCGCTGCCCTCTGCAAACTCTTCCCACCACCCGTCGTCCGCGTCATCAGCAATGCCCTCTGCTGTCCATTCCCTTTCCTCCTCTGCTGCAGCCTCTTCAAAGGCCTCTGCCACGTCTTCTTCGTCGTCTTCAGCGTCTCCATCAGTGGGAGGCTCGAGGGTGTCGTCGAACAAGGGGTTGACGTACTCTGCTTCACCCTCTTCAAAATGCACGTCATCAAAAACTTCCACTTCCGCCTTGCCATGGAGATGGCTCAGGATCAAATTGTCCTCCGAGCCGCCCAAGTCGTTGGAGATGCCGCAAGTCTTGAACGACTTGCGGATCAACTCCTCTGGGACTGTGGATGAGCTCAGCTGGGGATGAGCTCAGCTGGGGGATGAGCTCAGCTGGGGGCTTCTTGAGATTGCCTGCAGGGAATGGAATCACATGACGCAAATTCATGATCAATTATTGGAGCCGCCAGCAGAGGCGAATTCAGGATCAATTAAACAGTTGACACACTCGGAAGCAGCGGTACGAGACACACCGTGTTTTGTCTTCTGCTCGATGCCAGTAGTCTCGAACCAGCCGCCATAGTCACTCCTGACACCGGCCTTGAAGGACTTGTTCACGGCAATATCTAACGGCTGCACCAGTGGGGTGCAGCCGCCGGGGATCACAGCACGCGTCAGCTTGCACAGCTTCATAGTCTGCCCGACGGCCTGCATGAGGTGGCCTTTGTAGGAGTCTAGGATCACGAGAGCCTCCTTACGCTTGTTCCTCGAGTCTCGCAGAGGTCGAAGGAAGGGGTTGAGCACTTGAGTCGTCTAGTCCTGGACTAGGCTGTCGTCCATCCAACCCTTCGGCTGGGCTCGGATGACAACACCTGCATGCACACCGGACACGCACTGAGGGGACAATGAGGATAGACGGCAAGGAACCGAGGGCTAGACATCACACACTTACCGGGGGGGACTTGAATCTTTGGGAGGGTTTTCCTCTTGAAGATAACGTAGGCCGGTAGCTTCAGACCAGACGCCGTCACCGCCAGCATAACGGTGAGCCTCTCTTTCTCGTAGCCCGCGGTCCTCACATGGACTGTACGTGACCCCTTGTGCTCGAGCGTCCTCTCCTGGGGTATTTCGATGAAGAGGGGAGTCTGGTCCGCATTCACGATGAGGTCGAGGCTGTACTTGTTGAGCACGCACATTTGGCGAACGAATTCCCAAAATTTATCGCATTTCTCGCGCATATCTGCCAGGTAAAACAAGGAACCGTGTTAGTTTGCACAAATTCAGAAGCGGGTGAATGAGTTCGGTGAAACGAGGACATCCCTTGACAGTAGAGTGCAACGGACTTACCATCGGCCAGTTTCTGGCCCATCTTCGTCTTAACACGACGAGTCAGGCCCCATCGGTCCCAAAAGCGAAACGTCCACCTGCTGGAGGCGCGCCAGTCGATGTCGGGATGGTGGTGTCGCATGTAGGCGCGGCTCCACTTCTGCAGCTGCTTGACGGAGACGGCGAGTCCTTTGCCGCGGTGCTTCAGAAACTGGCGGTAGAGGGCACGCTCCATTGCTGGGAATTTCGCTGGTCGTCTGGCCCCGACAAGACGCCTACGACAGCCGGCCGCGACGCGAAGCCGCTCGTGCGCCCTCTTCCATTCCCTGATGGACACAGGTTGCACTCCTGCAAGCCTCGCCAAAGCACGAACAGAGAGGTCAGGTTGTGAGTCGGCCATATGCAGCCAGAACAATTTTCTTTCACGGTGTACGACCGTCATTGTTTCTTTGTCATCCTGCTGCGCGGCGACGGCGGAATACTATTGTCAATTTTAGAGGGACCACGTCGGTGCCGAACCGGTGAGGGGAACCTTGGAACGTGGACGCGTGGCAGAGGAGCACGACCTTCGGTCGAGCCACTCGACTCGTCTGCCGTAGGAGTGCTGGCATCGCTGGCGGTGGGTATAGGGCTGCTGGGTGGCGATGTAACGGTGGGGCGAGCAGGAAGACGGAACAAGGTTTGCTGGCCATAAGGGCCACGCTGAGTGAAAAGGTTGAGACCCGAGCCATTTGCCATAGCGAGTTGGAGCTATCCTAGCTGAGGGGAAGGATGCCCTTGACAACCCTTTCAAAGGTCGTTTTGAAGCCATCGTCTCTCAAGAATGCGAAATGAGTTGGGAGACCTGCCTATACCCTCAGCATGAGCGGCTTGGAGGGGATGGAGGGGACGTGGACGACTCCCTAACTCGAGCCGCTCACGATAGAGCCTTCACGACCATGCAGCACGGGAGAATCCGTGCGCTGGTTGGCCCTGTTTGGGTCGTGAAGGAATCTGCAGCAGATTCCTCTTGCTGAGGTTTGTTGGCACGTCGTGGTGTGGAGGTTGCCACCACGAGGTCACACCATGCCCCTATTGGCTGGAAAACGCAGGAGAACTGTGACGTAGCACATTTTCACTTCCAATATGGCAGAAGGATAGTCATCATCGGCGTATACGCGATTGTGCGCAAGAATCATCCAAAATTGACTCAGCACAAGTCTGTGAAGTACACATCTTAACCCTGGTTTCGTAATAGAACTATGTCGTTCCATAGCCCCCGGGCGTTGTACAAAAAGTGCCACTAATTACACCCCCACTAAATTTTGCATCAAAATTTGTTGCCACCCATGGGTGTTTTATCCGGGGGAATATGGTAAATGGATATGGAATTTTTATTTCTCGAAGCCTTCATTAAATACCCCATGCGCTATAATGTTCCCTAAAATCTCAACCCATGTATCAACAGGACCTGGTGTACAGTAGTGTAAACAATCCGTTATCCCCCTCTCCTTCACATACCCCTTATGGCCATCTGGTCTAAGCGCCGTCATCGTATCAACATCCATGTACACCGCTTTCACCTCTTCTGCTATCTCCCTCGCAATATCATTTTGTGCCGAGAACGTATCCCAGTGGAATGGCAACGTAGCCGGATCTTGCCGAATTTTGATTGGCCGGTCGTATGATGAACAGTTGGCATGGCCAGGCGGGGAGTTCCTGTAGACGATAAGCGCCCGAGGAAGCTTCCTGCGAAGCAACCTCATGGCGGCTCGCACAGAGAGCTCGAAATCCCTCCCACCAACAAAATGCGCGCCTCGGTTGACCACGACCACATCAGCACTCAGCAACCCATCGTATAAGTGCCATGGCATGTGGTCAAACGGCACGCTGCCACTTGTCGCACTCCCATTGGCAGTGCTGCTGGTGCTACCGGTGCTGTTGCTGTCCGCGGAGGTGCTGAGGTCCGGGTCCTGAATGTAGAGGTGGTCATTGCGGATCACGTGCACCATCACGCCCGGACACACGTTCTCATGAAACACATACAGCTTGCAGAATGCGTGCGGTGTCACGACCACTGGGGCAGTCTCCTCTTCCTCCTCCTCCTCCTCCTCTCCTCCCTCCCCTACTTCTTCATCCCCCATACTAGCACCTCCTGAACCGGTAGTAGCGTTCCCAGCTTCACTTCTTGATTTCCTCCAACGAGCGGTGCGGCGCAGCTTCCCAGAACCATCGTCGTCTCCTGCTCGTGCTCCTTCCCCCTCTCTCCCCAGAAGCCAGTCCACACACTGCTTAGGCTCGGATTCGTCCACAGCCCACGAAGCAGGCTTGGTAACATGGCGAAGCAGGCCGTTGAGGAAGCTGCCGGCCATCTGGAAGGTGAGGGAGTCCCCGAGAAACACAATCTTGAACGTCCCCCTCTCCTCCCTCGCCCGCTTGCAGAAAGCCGCACCATCGAATGGCTTCAACCCGCCCAATGGGCATCTGCCAGGTGGGGTCCTCCACTCGTACTTGAGTGATTCCCTTACCGTCCACTCCTCCTCGCTCCCACCCCTCCTTACAATCTCGTCCGCTTTAATCCCAGACACTCCTAGTCCCGTCTCCTTCTGCCTGTGGTCACACAGGTTCATGAACCCAGGGTATTCCCAGGGTAATACCCTCGGAGTCGGGTTATACACCCAGTTTCCCTCGCGGCTGATGCACTCTAGCCACCGCTCGAAAACGCGGACGTCGCGTCGGCGCCGAAGCCAGCTTCCAGGAACCTTCCAGGCCTCTGCTTCCCGCCTCTGCATTCGCTTTGCCAGCCTGTCCCTCTTTCTCCGCTCAGCATCGCTTATCTTCTCCCTTGCCGCAGCAGCGCTCCCAGCACCCCTGCTGCTGCCAACCCCACCAGCCATGCTCTCAGTGCTGCCTGTGCTTGCCGGCCCTGCATGATCCATCCCAAGGTGAAGGCACACCTCAGATACCGCCTCCCCCAGATCCTCCCTGCTCCAGGTGATCCTCATCCCTTGCTCATCCTCTTCTTCCTGTTGCTCCCCCTCTTCCGCCTCTCCTCTCTCATCCGCGTCTTCTTGCGTGCTTCCTGCCTGCTCAGCCTTACCCTCCCCTCTCCTCTCCTCCTCCCATTCCTCTCCCCAATCATCACCATCACCATCACCATCACCATCACCTTCCCCCCTCTTAGCAGTACCCTTCACAGTGCTTTTCCCCGTTCCTCCACCCTCCCCCTCTGCTGCCAAAATTTCCCCTTGTGGGTCTCTCATATCAAGCTCCCCATCCTCCCGAGCCTCAGGTTCGGTGACGAGCCACAGCTTCACCAGAGGTCCGGAGTCCAGCCGCTCAGATGGCACAGAGACGACGTGCAGGTGACACGTGGCACTCAGGGATTGGATGATGGAGGAGGAAGAAAGGAACGGGCCGTGCGAGGGAGAGGGGGGCCGGGGCTTAGATGGCTCCGAATATTCCCCGGGGAGAGCGGGCGAGGATGAGGAGGAGAGGGGGGATTGGGAGAGTGGGAGACCGAGGGGAGGGTGGAGGAGGAGGAGGGAGGAGTTGGGGCGGGAGTAGATGAGGAGCGGGAGGAGGGAGGGGAGAGGGAGGGAGACGAGGAGGGAGGTGAGGGGGAGGAGGGTGCGCGCTGATGGGGGGAAGGATGGGGGAAGGGGGAGAGAATGGAAGGGAGAGGAGAGGTGAGGAGGAGAAGAAGTTTTGTGTGAGCATGATAAGACCCGTATCAGGCCTCCGATGATGGGGCCTCGTGATGTTGCATGCATGCTGCATGGGGAATGAGGGGGAATAAGTGAATGGGGAGGGAAACTGTGGGGTAATGGTGGAGAACGAAGAGGGAAGTCACACTCACCGCACAGCACCCCCCATCACCGCACCCAAAACCATCCACCACCTTCAATAACCATGCATCACCCACATCACCCCCCATCAAACCCCTTGAAGCCCTCAGTTATGAGACGTTTCAAAAGATTATGCATCACCAACCATCAAACCAAAACGCCCCATCACCACTCACCACCCCTCATCATCCCCCAATTACCTTGCTTCCACCCGAGCCTCTTCACCACAGTGACCTTCCTCTCCCCAAACTGCTGCCTCAGCCGACCCACGAGCCAATCAAACTCCGCCATGTGGACCCCTCGAGGCATCGCCACCACCACCACCCTCCCCTCCCCTTCTTCCCCCTCCCCTTCTTTCCCCTCCCCTCCTTTCCCCTCCTCCTCCCCTCCCCCTTCTGCCAGCCGCAGTGACCAATCAGGCTGCAGCAGCGGCAGGTGGTTGGAGGAGGGGTGGAGGAAGGAGGCGCGGAGATGGGTCCACAAGGAGGGGCTCAGACGGCCGCAGTGCTGCTGGGTGGGCTGGGGGAAAGGAGGGGGGGAGGAGGCGAGGGCGAGGGGAAGGAAAGGAGAAGCAAGGGCACGACATGAGAGCATGGCAGGAGGAAGGGGGCGCAGAGATGGGTCCACACAGAGGGCATGCCACATGGGGGAGCGGAGGGGACGCCACATGGGGGAGCAGAGGGCACGCCACATGGGGGAGCGGAGGGCACGCCACATGGGGGCGCAGCAGCAGGGGCTGAGTGCAGGAGGAAAGAGGCGCAGTAAAGAAGGGCGACTGAAGATTCTTAGAGGATCACCTGAATCAGCTGTGGAATCATCTGCCTGAGGCACCTGAGGAATCACCGGATTCACCCGAGCCACCTAGAGTGTCACCTGAGGCACCTGATTCATCACCTGAATGAGCCGTCTGACAAAGAAGAGCTCGCTAGCAGCAGGAGGAGCGACGATGGTGACATTGAGGGATGGGGGCGCGAGCAGGCGAGGGAGCTGAAGGGGGGAGAGCAAGGGGTTAGGGAAGGTGCGGGGGTGTTGAGGGACAGGAGAGTGGAAGCATGGAGGGACGGAGGAAGCACGATGGCAAGATTGGGGGATGAAGTGGAGTGGAGGGCAGGCGAGGGAGCTGAAGTTGACACAGAAAAGGGGTGAGTGCTGGGGGGGTCGTGGAGATTGAGGCGAATAAACGAATGGCAGGGAGGGAGGGGGGGGGGGGGAGAGATGGTGGCGTCGGGGGATGAAGAGGGCAGGCGAGGGAGGTGAGGGCGGGAGAGCAAGGGGAGGAGCGGAGGATGGGCGTGTGGAGATAGAGGGGAGTGGTCGCAAGGGGGGACGGGGGAGACACGATGGGTGCATTGAGAAATGGGCGAGCGAGCATGCGATGCGCGGGAGGTGAGGCAGGTGAGGCTGGTGGAGTGGCGGTTGAGTGAGAGGGGCGCTCAGGAGTGGAGGCGTGAACCGGCAGTGAGCCACGATGAAGTGCGGCATGGATGGAGGGGGGAAGGATGGAGGGGGGATGGATGGAGGCGGGATGGATGGAGGGGGGATGGATGGAGGGGGGATGGATGGAGGGGGGATAGATGGAGGGGGGAAGGATGGAGGGGGGATGGATGGAGGGGGGATGGATGGAGGGGGGATGGATGGAGGGGGGATGGATGGAGGCGGGATGGATGGAGGAGGGATGGATGGAGGGGGGATGGATGGAGGGGGGATGGATGGAGGGGGGATAGATGGAGGGGGAAGGATGGAGGGGGGATGGATGGAGGCGGGATGGATGGAAGGGGGATGGATGGAGGGGGAAGGATGGAGGGGGGAAGGATGGAGGGGGGAAGGATGGAGGGGGGATGGATGGAGGCGGGATGGATGGAGGGGGGATGGATAGAGGGGGGATGGATGGAGGGGGGATGGATGGAGGGGGGATGGATGGAGGGGGGATAGATGGAGGGGGGATGGATGGAGGGGGGATGGAGGGAGGAGAGGACGGATGGTGGAGGGATGGAGGCACGATGGTTGCACTGAGCTGGAGGGGTGAGCATGAGTGTAATGCTTGACAATTGACGTTACCAGCGACTACTGTCGGCACAGGGGTGCATCCAGCCCACTTACCCGTGCCTGCCCCAGCAGGAGAGGCACATCCGGATTCTTTCTCAGAAACGGTGCCACTTGCAGCAACAACGGTGCCACTTGTAACACTATCCCTCCGCTTCTGTCTCTGCCTGCCACGTCAGCAGCTGCCCCCTGGCCTCCTGAGACGAGGAGATTGACGAGGGTATCGTGAATAGTTACCCGGGTGCCAAAAGGGTAGAAGAACTACCGTGCTTGGAGGGAGGGAGGAGCAGGGGAGAAAGGGGAAGATGGGGAGTTGTTGGGGGGGAGAGAGCGAAAGGGAACGAGGGAGGATGAGGAATGGGAATGGAAACGGTAGACACCTTGCCCCGTGGAGGCATCGCTAGTTTACCCCTCACCTGGTTGGCTTACCCCTCTCCTGGTTGGCTTACCCCTCAACTGGTTGGTTTACCCCTCACCTGGTTGGGTTACCCCTCACCTGGTCGATTTACCCCTCACCTGGTCGATTTACCCCTCACCTGGTTGGTTTACCCCTCACCTCGTCGGTTAACCCCTCACCTTGTCGGTTAACCCCTCACCTGGTTGGTTTACCCCTCACCTCGTCGGTTAACCCCTCACCTGGTCGGTTAACCCCTCACCTGGTTGGTTTACCTTTCACCTGGTCGGTTAACCCCTCACCTGGTCGGTTTACCCCTCACCTGGTTGGGTTACCCCTCACCTGGTCGATTTACCTCTCACCTGGTTGGTTTACCCCTCACCTCGTCGGTTAACCCCTCACCTGGTCGGTTAACCCCTCACCTGGTTGGTTTACCTTTCACCTGGTCGGTTAACCCCTCACCTGGTCGGTTTACCCCTCACCTGGTTGGTTTACCCCTCACCTGGTCGATTTACCTCTCACCTGGTTGGTTTACCCCTCACCTCGTCGGTTAACCCCTCACCTGGTCGGTTAACCCCTCACCTGGTTGGTTTACCTTTCACCTGGTCGGTTAACCCCTCACCTGGTCGGTTTACCCCTCACCTGGTTGGTTTACCCCTCACCTGATTGGCTTACCCCTCACCTGGTCGGTTTACCACTCACCTGGTCGGTTTACCACTCACCTGGTCGGTTTACCACTCACCTGGTCGGTTTACCACTCACCTGGTCAGTTTACCACTCACCTGGTTGGTTTACCCCTCACCAGGTCGGTTTACCACTCACCTGGTCGGTTTACCCCTCACCTGGTCGGTTTATCACTCACCTGGTCGGTTTACCCCTCACCTGGTCGGTTTATCACTCACCTGGTCGGTTTACCCCTCACCTGGTCAGTTTACCACTCACCTGGTCGGTTTACCACTCACCTGGTCGGTTTACCACTCACCTGGTCGGTTTACCACTCACCTGGTCGGTTTACCACTCACCTGGTCGGTTTACCCCTCACCTGGTCGGTTTACCACTCACCTGGTCGGTTTACCACTCACCTGGTCGGTTTACCACTCACCTGGTCGGTTTACCACTCACCTGGTCGGTTTACCACTCACCTGGTCGGTTTACCACTCACCTGGTCGGTTTACCACTCACCTGGTCGGTTTACCCCTCACCTGGTCGGTTTACCCCTCACCTGGGCGGTTTACCACTCACCTGGTCGGTTTGCCCCTCCCCTGGTCGGTTTACCCCTCACCTGGTCGGTTTACCCCTCACCTGGGCGGTTTACCCCTCACCTGGTTGGTTTACCCCTCACCTGGTTGGCTTACCCCTCACCTGGTTGGTTTACCCCTCACCTGGTTGGTTCACCCCTCACCTGGGCGGTTTACCACTCACCTGGTCGGTTTGCCCCTCCCCTGGTCGGTTTACCCCTCACCTGGTCGGTTTACCCCTCACCTGGGCGGTTTACCCCTCACCTGGTTGGTTTACCCCTCACCTGGTTGGCTTACCCCTCACCTGGTTGGTTTACCCCTCACCTGGTTGGTTCACCCCTCACCAGGTCGGTTTACCACTCACCTGGTCGGCTTACCACTCACCTGGTCGGTTTACCACTCACCTGGTCGGTTTACCCCTCACCTGGTCGGTTTACCACTCACCTGGTCGGTTTACCACTCACCTGGTCGGTTTACCACTCACCTGGTCGGTTTACCCCTCACCTGGTCGGTTTACCCCTCACCTGGTTGGCTTACCCCTCACCTGGTTGGTTCACCCCACACCAGGTCGGTTTACCACTCACCTGGTCGGTTTACCCCTCACCTGGTCGGTTTACCACTCACCTGGTCGGTTTACCACTCACCTGGTCGGTTTACCACTCACCTGGTCGGTTTACCACTCACCTGGTCGGTTTACCACTCACCTGGTCGGTTTACCCCTCACCTGGTCGGTTTACCACTCACCTGGTCGGTTTACCACTCACCTGGTCGGTTTACCACTCACCTGGTCGGTTTACCCCTCACCTGGTCGGTTTACCCCTCACCTGGTTGGTTTACCCCTCACCTGGTTGGTTTACCCCTCACCAGGTCGGTTTACCCCTCACCTGGTCGGTTTACCCCTCACCTGGTCGGTTTACCCCCCACCTGGTTCAGCCCTCACCCAGTTTCGCCCTCACCTGGTGGAGCCCGTGGCAGCCATTGGCGTGGAACACGTGAGTCGCGTTGAACACCTGCCCTTTGCCGTTCACAAACACGCCCCTCACCTCGTGCACCCTCCCCGCCCACTCCGCCCACCCGCCCCCCCCGCCAGCTGCACCAGTCCCACAGCGCGAACCCTCCGCCAAATCTACGTATGGTGGATTCTCACACACCAGCACGGCACCAGCTCCATCTTCCTCCTCCCCTCTCCCCGCCTCCTGCCCGGCCCCGTCCTCCCCTACCTCCCCTCCTCTCCCCTCCCCAGGACCCCCCTCCGATGCTGGGTGCAGTCCAGGCGCGCCAAGGCACGGCGCTAGGTGGGGGCAGAGAGGGGGGGACTGGCAGCTGGCGACGTGCCATTGGACGTGAGAAGGGGGCGAGTCTAGTGAAGCAGATGTAATGCCCAAGTGAGATGCAACGCCCCCTGTAGCAGCAGATGTAACGGCTGCTCCAGCGTCTGTGTTTCCTGCTGCCCCTCCTGCCGCTGCTGCATGGGAGTGACCATAACGATCGGTGCCAAAAGCGGATGGCGCCATAATGGGGATGGGGGCGGTGACGTGGCGGGAGTCGTGGGGGTTCAGGTCGATGATATCGAGGCCGTACGACTCCAGGGCCTGCAGCAAGTGGTGGTGCTGCTGCTGCTGCTGCTGCTGGCCTTGGGATTGGTCTGTCTGGCCTCGGATTTGTGAGCTGCCGCTTGGACTGCTGCTAGTGCCACTGCTGCCGCTGCTTGTGCTGCTGCCGCTGATGACGACGCCAAAGACGCCAAAGGCGCCACCGATTGGTTCCTGACCTGCTGCGGATTTCGAAGCAGCAGCCGCTGCTGTTAATGCTGCCGTAGTTTTGGCCGCTGCCGCTGCTGCTGCCGCCGCTGCTGCTGCTGCTGCTGCTGATGAAGATGCATCCGAACCCTTCGTCGCCAGAAGTCGCCTCACTCCGCCTCCTCCCTCCGCGTCTACATTGTTGGATCGTCCCGATAGAAGCACCCCCCATACAAGCAGAAACGGCACAAGAACGGCAGGTCGAGACGAGTACACGGCGAGAACCCTTCCAATGCAAAGGCTGCCTTTCCCCCGACGAGATAACCGATTGCGACCACAACGACTGTCGATTCGCTCCCCTAATCTCGACCCGACATTTCCTCCCTGGCTCTCAACGCCACTCGTTCCAAACGGCGCCCACGCAGCTGCATTCGTCAGCTGTCTCGCCATTCCCTTAGAATCCACGTTTACAAATTCCCTTAGAAATGGATTGGAATCGATCCGCTTAGAAACGACGCCGCTAATTTCAAATGAGCGTCGACTGTAAGGACACAAGCTCGCCGTTCATCGCACCGACTTGCCGCCTAGAAATGACGCCGCTGCATTCGGCATTTCGGGTGAACGTCGTTCTTTCACGCATTGCCTGCCGTATCAGGTACGGTATCACCAACTAGTGGGAGCTCGTTCTGACGCACCGTGTGTTGCACGACGTGTAGCGATGCTTCTAGAAACGCCATGAACACGAACAGGTGCCATGCAGTTGCGGGAACAGGTCACTTCATATTCCCCTGGTCAGCAATTGTGCCTGAGAAGTCACTGAAGGTGGACTAAGCATAATCCCTCGTCGATAGGTGGGCAACATAATAAATATGAATTGAAATAAAAGCTACAAGAACTGGAAAGATTGCAAGTCACATCATGGCTTTTACGTAAAACACTGTTTTAAAGCGAGGGTCTCAAAACCCCCGAACTCAAAAACTTACGTTCGCGAATTTCGCGAGTCACGAAACGCAGGTAAGGAAGCGGGTTGTACGCGAGGGGCAATGAAGGCCTCTCGAACAAAGCCCCACCTCGCTGCGCATGAGCAGTGTCGCCAGCCCTCCCAGGCGACGAATTGGCACTACGCGACGTCGCCCAACCCACACCAGCACACCCATCGCCAAAATACGTGGTAAGGAAGAACACAAGGGAGCGCGCTATGTGTTACGGGTGTTTGATCAGAGTAGCACGGAATGTCACCATGGAATGACAAAGATATAGGAACACCAGAGCAATCCTAGCCGCGTGATCGAACAGGTTTGTAGAAGGCATCCTAGAACGCGGAGCGCTTCGGAGTGACGTGGAAATGGTTCGGTGCCGTGTTCGGGCCGAAGCTAGGGCAGATGTCGATGTCGTGTGGGGTTGATGTACGCAGTAGCGGTATTCTTAGTCGACAAGTGCCTCCAGCTAGGCTACTTATCGATCTCCTCGATCTCACGATTCCAACGGTATGCTCAGAGAAGCTGAAAGTCGTCAATACGAAATGCATCAATTTTCTGAATCCACTAGTTCGGAGTGAGATACAAAGCACAAATTGAAACAACACATATATGCATTTCGGATTTCAGCTAAGCGTTTCGTAACATCGCATACGTCTCGTTGTAACGCGTGCGCCTCAAGTCACCCCAAGTCGCGCTCCACCGAAACTGAACGCGCTCCGCGTTGGTTTGGCACCGAAACCGACATCGAGTTCGGTTCCACGGAACGTGCACCGAATGCTCTCCTCTTCCAACTTCCAATTCCCCGCACAACACTTCTAGCAGCTGCTGATTCCTCATGCCACATTTCCAGCAGCCGCAAACTCCTTCCTCCTCATTTCCACCTCTCATCTTCAACGCTTTCCTCAACCGGATTTCTTCCTAACTCCCACCACATATCGCTGCATCACCGTTCCTCCTCCACACCTAGTGCCGCCATCGCGCCGCCAGATTATGTTAGGTCCGCCGTTGGGTAGGGCAGCACCGAACCATCTCCAACAACCTCCCCTGTGGTTCGGGGCTGCCAACCCTATCTCGAAGCACATTCGATGCAAATCACACAAACTGCACAAAACCCCAAGTCCTCGTATCTTCATGCTACCCCATGTCTTCCAAGTCTTCTTCTTGCACGTCTTCTTGCCATGTCCTCCACTCCCCTGCAATTCAGCATACCGCTAATGCTTCTTCACTAACTTCTGTTTTTTCTTGGTCGTACGTATCCCCAACGTTTGTTTCTTGCCTTTCTTCTTCCTCGTGCCTTTCCCATGCATCTTAGCACTACTCCTCTGCACTTTGGTAGTCTCCTTGCTATTTGCCTTTTGCTCAATCAGCCCCAATTGTTGTCCCATCAAGAATATCCCACCATGCTCATCTTCTCCTTCGATCTCCACATACTCCACACATTCCACCTTCACTGCTGCTGCCCTGTTTTCACCATTTTCCTTGCTGCCCTCCTCTTCTTCAGCCCCATATCCTGTCTCAGGTTCCTCAACCACTCTAATCTCCTCTTGTTGCAATTCTGCTGCCCAATCCTTTGACTTTGGCTTCTTCTCCCAATCTGCTCCTGCGGCTTCATGCTTCACTATCACATCCTCACGCATGCTTAATTCGGTATCGTCAACCTCCCATGCCTCTGCAACTTCAGCTGCTGACTCATCCTTCTCATTACTCATCTCATTTCTCGTACTCCCCTTGAAGAGCTCTTTCACTGCTATCTTAGGGCTCACATCCATCTCATAGACACCATGCTTCAGTTCTCCATCATCCACTCTTTCCCATCCTGGACCAAAGACTGAAACCTTCCCACTCTCACTAAAGACCTTGCAACCAAGCTTATCCAATTGAGCTTGACTAATCAGATTCGCTGCTAGCTTCTCTACCACCAACACTCCCTTCAACTTCAGCTAACCAAAAGGACTACGCAGCACTACATCTCCCTCTCCCTTGACAGGTAACTTCTCATTATCTCCGAGTAGGATATAGGGCTGCTTTGAATCTCTCATATCCTCAACCCACATATACCTGTTCGTCATGTGTTGGGTGCTGCCACTGTCAAGAATTCATGCCGCATCATTTTCTCCCTTTACTTGCTCCTCACTTCTATGCACCACATTTGCACGATGAGCACCTCCAAGGATAACATCGTCCTTAACCTCCTCAACTGCTGCCACATTTGCTTTGCTGCTGCATTCCCCTGTTGCTGCACTTGGCCCCTATAATTTCTCCCATGTGGACTGGAGTAGCATTCCGCTGCCCGATGCCCGTACTTGTTGCAGAAATGGCAGTTACCTCCAAATCCCCTTGGCTATTGTTGTTCAGCTGCACTTATCTTCCCCATGTCGTTTTCTCCTCTTTTCCCTTTGTAATTTCTGCTCCTCGGGTTCTCATAGCAATCGATTGACTTGTGCCCCTTTTTTCCACAAATGGTAGCGCGCTTCAAATCCCCTTCGAAACGTCGCCGCTGCATTCACCATACCCAGCGGATCATGTCCGTCATCATATGCTGCTTCCTGGTTCTTTCCTTCAGCCCTCATAACCTCAATCGCTTGGAGCTTCTCCTCCAGCTGCGTCAGATTTGTGGGTGGGTGCAAGATCACCCCCCTCCCTCCTTCTCCGACTGCCATGATTTAGGAAGCCCATTCCCAATATATTCCATCATCCACTCTTCGGTCTTCGCTTCTCCCATAGCTGCTAACGATTATCCTCTCCTCTTACCCCATGCTGAGCAACAAGAGTCGCTTCCGTACCGTTGATATGTTGGTACCACTCCTTTTCAGGTACACATTCTCAAGATGTGCCCATGCTTTCTCTGCCGAGTTCAGCTCGCGTTTAAACGGGTCCAACCTTGTTGCAATGCTATCCGAAACTGATTGGCAAAGCTGGAAATATGCTTGTTCTCCTCTTGAAGTCCGCTATCTTCTCTGGTGTCTCCGCTTCAGGTGGAGGGACTCCCTCCCCTGTCCCCTTGTCCTGCTCATAGTAGTACCATAGATCAACTTCCTCTGCCCGCCGACTGAATTTGAGTTGCACGTGCTATAACTGCTTCCGTTGAAGCGTTGGGCCTCGCTCAACCCAATTGCAGGTTTCGCCACCAATTGCCCCCTCGCAAGGGCCTCTAGGAGAGCTTTTACTTGCGGGTCTCCAATGCTCACACTGGATCCCGAACTAACCTCGTCACGACTCATGACGTAGGCTTGAACTCTCCTTCAACCACTAGACTCCACTTAGCGCACTAAGTGTTCTTGCCCATAACAAAGCTCTGATACCAGCTCGTAGTCAACAAGCGCCTCCAGCTAGGCCACTTATCAATCTCCTCGATCTCACGATTCCAACGGTATGCTCAGAGAAGGCAAAAGTCATCAATACAAAATGCAGCAATTTTCTGAATCCACTAGTTCGGAGTGAGATACAAAGCACAAATTGAAACAACACATATGCATTTCAGATTTCAGCTAAGCGCTTCGTAACACCGCGTGCGTCTCGCTGTCACGCGTGCACCTCGAGTCACCCCAAGTCGCACTCCACCGAAACGGAACGCGCTCCGCATTGGTTTGGCACCAAAACTGACACCGAGTTTGGTTCCACTGAACTTCACCGAATGCACTCCTCTTCCAACTCCCAATTCCCCGCACAACACTTCTAGCAGCTGCTGATTCCTCGCGCCACATTTCCAGCAGCCGCGAACTCCTTCTTTCCTCCTCATTTCCACCTCTCATCTTCAACGCTTTCCTCAACCGGATTTCTTTCAAACTCCCACCGCATATCGCTGCATCACCGTTCCACCACACCTAGTGCCGCCATCGCGGCGCCAGATTAGGTTAGGTCCGCCATTGGATAGGGCAGCACCGAACCATCTCCAACAGGTGTGGCGCGCTAAGGAATAGAAAATTCTTTACACTACCCCCCCCCCTCTAGCGAAGGTGGACTATATTTGCGACATGCTTGCGGGATAAAAAATCCCGGAGTACAGTAGGTGACTGTACTTGTACCGAGGGAACCCACGTGTCGTCCTCGCTGGTACGATGAGTCCATGGTATCAGAAAGTCAACGTGTCATTCCTGGCCGTTGATTCGACCACAAAAGGACGAAGGACGCTGACGTGGAATGAATTATGAATCTTACAATCATCGGGCAGGTGAAGTTGAGCGGTCACTGGCCTTATCGTCTTGATGAGTTTGAATGGTCCACAGTAGCGGGGTCAGAGATTTGGTGGTATCTGCAGGCGAAGGTTTTTTGTGTCAAGGAGGACTAGTTTCCCTGCAGTCAAGGTAATATCCCATCTGTGGCGGCCGGCGTATTGGCGGGCAGTGACATTGGCTTTTCGGAAAATTTTGATGGCTTTCGTGCGGGCGGTTTGAAGGTCTTCGTCGAACAGCTGCGAGCGAGGAACTTGGCTTTCAACGTTGGTGGAAATGGGTACTGTCAAATCCATCTCATAATTCAGGAAAAGGGGCAAATGATTGGTCGTGGCGAAGGGTGCATTGTTGTAGGGAAACTCGAACATGGGTAGCGAATCTTCCCATTTGCTGATATCTGGGCAGTTCGTGCAAATCAACAGTTCTATAGTCTGATTCATCCGTTCTGTCTGACAGTTGGTTTGCGGGTGATAGGCGGATGAGAACTGTAGGCGGGTGCCGTATTGGTTCCACGTGTCTTGCCCGAAACACGAGGTGAATTTCGGGTCTCTGTCGCTAATGATCGCCACAAGGATACGATGCACGGATACTATCTTGTACGGAATCGAATGTCGAGGTTCATAATAACCGAATGTCATACAATGGAATGATGAAACAAGATATAGGAACACCATAGAAATCCTAGCCGCATGATCGAACGGGTTTGTAGAAGGCACCCGAGGACGCGAAGCGCTTCGGAGTGACGCGGAAATCGTATGGTGCCGTTTTCGGGCCGAAGCTAGGGCAGATGTCGGTGTCATGCGGAGTTGATGTACGCGGTAGCGGTGTGGCGCGCAAAGGAATGGAAAATTCCTTACACTTCCCCCCCCTCTAGCGAAGGTGGTCTATATTTGCGACGTGCTTGCGGGATAGGTAATCCCGGAGTACAGTAGGTGCCTGTGCTTGTACCGAGGGAGCACACGTGTCGTCCTCGCTGGTACAATGAGTCCATGGTATCAGAAAGTCAACGTGTCATTCCTGGCCGTTGATTCATACGCGATGGCTTAGGATCTTCGTTGGTTTGATGAGTATCGGCGATGTTTGATGTGTCGGCCACAAAAGGACGAAGAAGGCTGACGTGGAATGAATTATGAATCTTCCAATCGTCGGGTAGGCGGAGTTGAGCGGTTACTGGCGTTATCACCTTGAAGGTTTTGATGGTCCACGGTAGCGGGGTTAGAGATTTGGTGGTATCTGCAGGCAAAGGGTTTTTGTGTCAAGGAGGACTAGTTTCCCTGCAGTCAAGGTAATATCCCGTCTATGGCGGCCGGCGTATTGGCGGGCAGTGACATTGGCTTTTTGGAAAAATTTGATGGCTTTCATGCAGGCGGTTTGAAGGTCTTCGACGAACAGCTGTGAGCCGGCATATTAGTGACCCGGCTGGTGGCAGTGAAAACACTGTCGCTTCTTGCGATCTTCGTCGTTCGCCACTATGTCGTTGATCGAGGGCCGTTGATCCTGTCCATAAAATGATTTCCCTCCCTGGAACCCGATCTCGCAGATTTTTTATTGGTGTCGTACAGGTTGGCGATCACCACTGCTTCTTGGAACGTCACTAAACGTCACATCCTCACTTCGTAGCAAATGTCGGGTTTGAGCCCCAAGATGAACCAATTCTTTTTCTCAGCTTCTGATAGGTCGGTGATTTGGTCGCACAGTGCCTGAAATTATTACGCGTAATCCTAGACAGAGGTCAACTGGCGCCAGGTGTCCAGCTTTGTACGTGCGTTGTCCGAGGTGGATATGGGCTCGAAACGTGCATGCAGAGCCATACGCCATGCTTTCCACGTGCGAATCTCGGTCGCTCCAAAAATTGACGTTGCGTCCCGGGAAGCAGATTTCGAACTCCCGAAAAACCCCCGAGTGTTCCTTGCCAAAGTCCCCGTCTCACTTAGCATCGATCACCACCAATCCAATGCCGGTCCCCTCAGTAGTGAAACACCCAGTTTGATTTTTAAACATCAACAGTAATTCCGACGGCAGCAAAATAAAGCTCCATCACAAAAAGCCTGCTCGTGATGGTGGTGTTTTTGTCCATGGGGTTAAACGGGGGCGGCATCGGCGGCTTTATCTTGGCCACTAGTACAGTTGGCATGGCTGCGGCTGCTGCAGAAGCTATTGCTGCTGCTTCGAAGCGGATGTCGGCCATTGTCGCAGCTGCTGCAGCTGCCGTGGCACGTGCGGCGGCATTCGTTGCTGCCTCAGCTTCATCATCACGGCGCTCCTGTAACACTTCGTGTGCGATTTTGTCCAATACTGTTTCGCCATGTCCAGTGCTGGCGCCGTCCTCGGGAGCGGGCAACTTCTAGCGCATAGTCTCTTACGCCTAACAAAATTCGGTAACTTCGGCGCAAAGTTTCTCATTGTCGTCTAGCACAGATGTCAAGCGAGCCTCCGTGGCAGCAAATTTTGCCGTCAAATCGTCAAACTGTGCCTGGTCCATATGGCGAATCCTATGCTGGGTGGGCAGGGGAATATCAATGATTATCCATGCTCATGTAAGGGCGCAAACGCTATTATAGTCGCGCAAATTAATTCGTCTAATTCGCGGCCGACTGCTTTGCAACTCAGTGAGCGAATCATCCCCCCTCCCCCCCCACCCCCCACCCCCCCCCCCCCCCTCCGAAAATAAATTTCCGCGAACGGAAATGGGTAGGTCAGGAAAATAGCTATGAATACCAGATGCTATGAATGTTTCACTAGAGTAGCATGGAATCGAATGTCGAGGTTCAGAATAACAGAATGTGGTACAATGGAATGATGAATCAAGATATAGGAACACAAGAGCAATCCTAGCCGTGTGATCGAACAGGTTCGTAGAAGGCATCCGAGGACGCGGAGCGCTTCGGAGTGACGCAGAAATGGTTCGGTGCCATGTTCGGGCCAAAGCTCGGGCAGATTTCGGTGCTGTGTGGGGTTGATGTACGCCATAGCAGTGTGGCACGCTAAGGAATGGAAAATTCCTTACTCTATGCTACAATGAAAACCTGGCCATGCGCAAGATACTAAATAAAGCAAAATACAACCATGTAATCAACCTACCAACAAAAATTACACCATGAGTCAAAATAAATGCATGGGCTTGATAAACTGTACTACGAATATTACACGATGATTCAATCCTTTTTTTGTTAGCACATGGGCTGATAAATTCCATTTCATAAGATGCGCCTGTGAATTCCTCTAAAATCCCTATAAGCAAATACGCGCTAAAACTCGGGTGTTTCCGGCACCCCCTGCAAGAGTGTATCCGTGCTGTGAAAGGATGGGGGAAGGGGGAAATGGGAGGAGTATGGGAGCAAGGGATGACAGGGAGATGGGCAGAGAGATGGGCAGGGGGAGAGCGAGAGAGAGAGAGAGAGAGAGAGAGAGAGAGAGAGAGAGAGAGAGAGAGAGAGAGAGAGAGAGAGAGAGAGAGAGAGAGAGAGAGAGAGAGAGAAGAGGGGGGAGAGAGAGACGAGCTCAAGAGATATTGAGATAGGCTCAGGGGCTGAGCATGACTGCAGGGGGGAGGGGAGCAAGGTACTCAGGTTCTGAGTGAAAGGGAGTTAGAGTAAGGAAGAATAGGTGGAAGGAGGGGAAAGGTGGAAGGAGGGGAAGGCGGAAGAAGGGGAAGGGAAGCGCACCCAAAGGTCATGTCCCCAGGGCTGCCATGCCTGCCCTGGAACCAACAAAACGGAGGTGAGAAGGGAATCAGGGAGAGAAATGGGAGGAAATGGAAGGCATGAGGGGGTGGAACAAAGAGGAAGGGGTGAGAACTGGAGCAGGGACGAGGAACGAAAGCAGGGGGAGAATGGGAAGGGGGGCAATGAAAGCAGGGGGAGAATGGAAGGGGGAGCAATGAAAGCAGGGGGGAATGGGAGGGGGAGCAATGAAATCAGGGGGAGAATGGGAGGGAGAGCAATGAAATCAGGGGGAGACAATGGGAGCAGGAGGGAGGAATGAAATCAGGGGGAATAAACGAAATCAGTGGGGAGGGAGAGAGGGAGGGGGGAAGGGGGATTGGGGGGGGGGGGAAAGGGGGAGATGATGGGAGCAGGGGGGAGCAACCAAAGCTGAGAGAGGGGGGACGGGAGAGGAAGAGAGCGGAAAACAGAGAGGAAGAGATGGGGAAGCGGAGAGGGAGAGAGGGGGGGGCGGAGAGGAAGAGAGGGGAAGCGGAGAGAAAGTGAGGGGGAATCCAAGAGAAAGTGAGGGGGAAGCGGAGAGGAAGTGAGGGGGAAGCGGAGAGGAAGAGAGGGGGAAGCGGAGAGGAATTGAGGGGGAAGCGGAGAGGAAGTGAGGGGGAAGCGGAGAGGAAGTGAGGGGGAAGCGGAGAGGAAGTGAGGGGGAAGCGGAGAGGAAGTGAGGGGGAAGTGGAGAGGAAGTGAGGGGGAAGTGGAGAGGAAGAGAGGGGGAAGCGGAGAGGAAGTGAGGGGGAAGCGGAGAGGAAGTGAGGGGGAAGCGGAGAGGAAGTGAGGGGGAAGTGGAGAGGAAGTGAGGGGGAAGCGGAGATGAAGTGAGGGGGAAGCGGAGAGGAAGTGAGGGGGAAGCGGAGCGGACGTGAGGGGAAATTGGAGAGGGAGAGATGGGGAAGCGGAGTGGAAGAGAGGGGGAGACGCTGGGATTGAGGGCAATGAGAGGGCCATGGAAGGGTGCAAAATTTGCCCTCGCTCTCTCTGTCTTTTCTCTCGGAAGGCTGCCAGCTCCTGCAGGGAAGGAGGGTGGTTGGTTGAGGGAGGGTGCCAAGAACGAGGGAAAGTCATGGGAGCTAGGGCTGAGCATGAATGCAGGGGAAAAGGTCCTCTCTCTTTCCACAACAGTCCTCTCTCTTTCCCCCTACGGTCTTTTCTCTTTCCCCCTACGGTCCTCTCTTGTTCCCCCTGTCGTCCTCTCCTCATCCCCATACCGTCTTATCCACACCTGCCTCTATCGTTCTCTCCCCATCCCCTGCTCGTTCTCTCCCCATCCGCCTCTCGTTCTCTCCCCATCCGCCTCTCGTTCTCTCCCCATCCGCCTCTCGTTCTCTCCCCATCCGCCTCTCGTTCTCTCCCCATGTGCCTCTCATTCTCTCCCCATCCGCCTCTCGTTCTCTCCCCATCCGCCTCTCGTTCTCTCCCCATCCACCTCTCGTTCTCTCCCCATCCGCCTCTCGTTCTATCCCCATCGTTTCATTTTATCCCCAACCCCCCCCAGTTCTGTCCCAATCCCCCTCATTTCCTCTCCCCATTCCCCTCTCGTCCTCTCCTCTTCCCCATCTCGTCTTATCCCCATCCCTCTCCAGTCCTCTACCCATCCCACTCCCGTCTTTTTTCCCATCCGCCTCCCATCCTCTCCCCATCACCCTCCTGTCCAAACCCCCATACAGCTCTCGTCGTCCCCGCATCCCCGTCCAGGCCTCTTCTCTTCCCCCTTCTGTCCTCTTCTCTTCTCCAAGTGTTACCATGGGAGATGGAACGTCATCGGGGCATTATTCTATTACTGTCGACGGTTGCAGAACTGCAACCGTTGCGACAGTTGCGAAACTGTACCGCGGTGCTGCAAACCAAACCGCGGTCATGCAATCGTTACCGCAGCGCATTTCTTGAGAAGTTGAACTGGGTGACTCTAGAGCTGCTCAACTCTCACCCAGGAGCTTTACGATACATGAACAATGTTTGTATTCTCAAATTATGCAATGACTAGTGCTTCAACGCCCATTCTTCTATTGGGTCTTGCATCTGGGCCGGGCGACGCTTCCATATATGCCCTCTCAAATCCCGGCGTGTAACACCCTTGCCTTCGGCCCGATCCACATCCACGGGGTGGCGAAGCAGTGCCGCTAAGTGCGAGTACTTGATCGCGTGCTGCAGCTGCTCCGGGGTGTGCCTGAAAGTCTTCCCCAGCATGTCGTGCTCTGCTGACGTCATCTTGACGCCGGACAGCTCGACATTGAAGTGAGCTTCCGCCTCAGTTGGAGTTTGCAGCAGCAGGTGTGCCACCCACACGCACACGTCGATTTCCCCCAGCCCCACCACGCACACCTGAAACTGGTCCACATCGAATGGCCCTTCCTTCTCCTCCGCGATTTTGGTTAGCACCAACCCGCTTTCCATCGCGATCGATTTGCCGACACTCGGGGGGGCGGCATCTTGCCGTCGACCTCCAGCAGGGAGAGGAAGCCGTTGTCCCCACGCTCCTGCTGCTGGCCCTTGTGCGCCACAATGCTCAGCATGTGGTTCACGCCGTCGGGCGTCATCCACGTGACACCGATCTCCTTAATCCACGTGTGCAGCTCAGTGCTCGATTCCTTGCTCCTATTCGCCACCGCCGACACGGGCAGCACGGGTGGCACGCCCTGGTACCCGTTGAGCAGCATGTTCACTTAGAAGTGACGGTCGGAGAAGAGCCAGAAGGATTTGTCGAGGCGCCAGGTGAAATCGTAGTGCGTGCCGTGCGTGCCCGTGAGATGCGGGTCGTTTTCGACGAGCGCGGTACCATTGCAAAGCCCGCCGACAAAGCTCAGTGGGTACAATGCCGCGTTTGCCGCCTTCGTTGCCGCATCACCCGCATTGGGGATTTTGAAGGCTCCCGACGTGCCCGAGCCGCCGTTCTTTTCGGGCAGGTAGCATTGGATATGATCGATGAATCACGTCACCTTGGCGTTTTTGCCTGCAAGACACATGCTGGAGAGAGGAAGAAACATAGAAGAACAAATAACGAGAGCGAATTTCGTAACACAAATCATCTTGCGTGCCGCACGCGCTGCAACGCTATCAAGCCATGACCCTATTGCGAATTCAACACTTGAAGTGTCATGATTTGGGATTTCAGGGAAGTGGCGCTTACTTCTTGAACCAGTGCCACTGGTAGCATTAGGTGGAGCAAGCGTAGGAACAGCAACACTCCTGCATGGTGTCGCCATTGACGCCCTTCTCCACGTCGAAAATCGTCCCCAGCTCTGTGTACCGCTCGAAATTCACGGGGCCCGACCCGCGCTGGTGCTCTACGAACTGCCCGCCCTGATCGTTGATCAGCCCCTGGTAATCGCCGATGTACTTATAATTGGTGTACGTGGACTTGGAAATGGTTGTTGTAGCGAGATTATCTATGTAGGGGCAGACGTAACGGGTGTGGCATCCACCAGCGGGCATGTTCGTTGCCGTGGCAGTGCGCAATAGAGACACGAACGTGAGGAGAAGGGAGAGGGTGCAAGGGAAAGCCATACTTGGCTGCTTGATACAAAAGAACCGTGTTGCTGAGATAAATGGGAAAGGGAAGAGATGAGCAATGAGGTGAGGCGAGTGTTTGTGTGACGTACCTGAGATGTGAACGTGCAATTCCGCTGCGCCCTCCTGGTAACCTCGTTTTGACCCAGTAATAGCGAGGCATTATGCTCAGTATCAGAGCCTAGGGTTCGAATCCCAGCTGGTCACATTTTCCGCCCTTGGCGAGAATTTGAATGTGTATCCAGGGGCGAACCCAGCGAACGATCGTGGTAACCGCTATGCATCACCAGCGAAGTCGCTGACTTGGACCACCAGCGAAACTCGAGGTCCTTGCGGGGGGCGACTCCCTGAGACAACGAGGACGTTGGCACCAGGAGGAGACGAGTGTAACGTACCTGAGATGTGAACGTACAATTCTGCTGCGCCCCTCTGGTAACCTCGTTTTGACCCAGTGGGTAGCGAGGCGTTATAGTTTGATTCGATGGTGGAATTTGTTGCGAGGCTCTACTCCAGAAGCGGTTCTCGGCTGACTTGTGTTTTCTAGGGGATGCTGGAGTTGAAAGCTGCACTGTGTACTCTACAGAGTTCTGGTTGGTGGTAGACAAATGACACCTCAAGGCGAATCGCAGATGCCAACCGCACCACACACCTTGTCTTCCTAAGGGCGTGCGCAGTGTCGAGTCATGATTTGTGAATTGGGTCCCTAAGGGGAGACGCAACATGATTGGTCGATTCCACGCCTCACGCGAAGCGCCCACTCGTTCCCTCAACCTGTTTGCTCAATCTTGAATCACGCCATAGGGGCAGTGTGGTTGAGTGGATTCGCCAGATAGAAGCTCCTGATAGCAAGCTGGTTCGTTCGAATGGTACAGACTTGCTGACAGCAATGTGCCGGCAAAACCTCTAACCGACATACTATTTCATGCCAATGTATCATATTGTAGTTAGATGCCTAGGGTAATTATTGGTGTGACTTTATGCAAATATTACCATGGATATCCAAATGAATAGGCATGAATAGAATATATGTATCTATAGCAATTGATGCCAAAGACTAGGAAGGATAACACAATGGAAAAACATACTGCTAGCACACAATCTAGAGTGCGGGGATGTTATGAAAAAGGTAGAAAAAAGGGCTGAACAATATATAGTTTAGCCTGATTACTAGGCAAGGTCAAAGGGATTGGGTGCGACGCAAGTGAGCTTGGGATGGCGAGGACATTGGACCGAGCCTTAGTCTGCAAAGATTTTGGTGCAATACAGCCGGATGAGATATAACATTCATTACACTACTGATCCCTCCATCCATGTC